CTGCATTAGACAGGAGATCAAAATAGACAAGCACAATTATCTCATCCATTCTCAGTTAACTAGTGAACAGCCTACTTTCAATGAAATAAAAATGGCATGCTAACATATTAAATATTTTGTATTAGATACTGTAATAAAAATAAAACAAGATAAATTTTGATACTTTGAAGTGTTTCTTATCTGCAGAATGATGACATTCATAGCTGGGGGGACAGGGGATAAATTGGTGTCTTCATGACAAGTCCATGAAAGTTCAGCTGCTTAGAGATCATAGGATTGGCTTTAGACAGATTTGAAATCTGTTTGCATAGCAGACATCTGTTAGCCCTCAAAAAAAAGAACCAGCAAAAACCTACACAGAAAAGCCTCAGAAAGCATTTTAGGCACTCAAAAATCTTGTCAAGTAATCTACAGCAGACTCCCAAGGCTGTGCTCAGGATCTGAGATTCTGCCCTTAGTCTGAAAAGAGCTAGTTGACCCTCTTTGCCACCAAGCTACAGGTAGAGTGTGGTGCTTTTCCCCAGAGGTGGTGCACTCAGAGAGTCCAGGGTGGGCTTTCAAAACAGAACAGAGAATGAAGCTGAGACTCAGGAACTTCAGTGAGCACAAAACATGGGTAACTGGTCACCTCCACACGTTCCACATCTCTGCTTTCATAGGTGTGACTTCTGTTTGGAACAGCTCACATTTGCTTCTCTTCAGCCTAATTTCTTTTTCTCATTTATTTTTCAGAAATGAGGCCATTTTTATTGGGTTGCCAAGTGACTCTTCTCCTTTGGATCAACAAGAGCCTGCTCCATTTTAATTAATGGTGTTTTAACTTTACAGGGCACTACAAAACAATAGGTCACATTTTGACAGAAATCCATACAACAAATAAAACCAACTGTTATTTTAGTGGTATAAGTTCTACTTATGTATAGTTGATATGCATAGACATAATTTTTATAATCTTCCTTTGGATTACTTCTGTAACTGCAAGTAAACCAGAATCATTTTCATGTCTTACTTTGTAGGAGGTGGAAACTAACAGATGTGCAATATTCTGAACAGCTCCATGGTTAAATAGGATTGTCTGGTGATCTGGGCCCTTCAAAAGAAAACATAAAACAATTCAGTTAAAGGAACATGTAAGAGGTTTCTGCTACCTGCAAATTATTAAGCATTAAAGGTAGATTTGCTAACATTTATTTTGCAATCAACTGGCATACTCATTTTTTTTTTTACTCTAAAGGAACAAGTCCAACTTGTATTTTTTTACAGCATTTGTCCTTTTCCAGTAATTATTTCCACTCTTTTCTTCAATAGGCAGTGAAATTTGGTTTCAGAAATGAAGAAACATGGATGAAAGTACATATGTTTCTATTTTTCATATTGGAAATAATCAAAAGCTTCTGATTTTTCTCTACAAATCATATAAAAGATTCCCAGTTGCTAATGTCTCCTTCACTGGTGACATTAAGCATTTTAAACAGTTCTAACTTCAGAAGAGAAGGAATTAATTCTGAAACTGTTTCCAGACAGAATATGACAGTGCTTTGAGAACAGATTCACATCTTCCTCCTACAGATTATTTTAGTTTCCAACATATTTAGCCATAAATCTAGTCAGCCATCACCCATTTATTGACTTCAAAATCTGTCAGCCACAGCTGATAAGTCAATATTTTCCCCAGATTCTAAAAGCATTTGGAATTAAACACAAATACTGTATTTTGCAGTAGAAAGGTCTCAGAATTTCTGTGTATGACAAGCCTCAATGAGACTGGGAAAAAACCAACATAATATCTTCATGGGGCCTGCAGCCCTCAATGGACTCTTGTGAAATCTGATCTGTGACTTACAAACATCTCTTTAGGAGGAGACTGATGACTCCAGTCTCTTTGCATTAAGCACTGGCTACATGCAATTTAAATTCAGCTTTTAGGATCTCACAGCATTACTCCAGGAGATGTGTCAAGGTGTGATTAATCTGCAAGTGAAGGAAGTATCCTCTCTCCTTCATCTTCTGTTCAAACCCAGCTGAGTTTATGGGCACATCTATACACCCTAACATTGAGTGATGCTTTATTTTCACATTTGAGATATAGCTGAGATCAGATTCCTCTTATAATCAAAAGAATATTTTTAGAACATCCCCTACTTCTAAGGAAAAAAAAGGGCCAGAATTACTTTTAGATTTAACATATCTGGTGCTTTAAGAGATGCTTCAGCTGCTACTGCCACCAAGAGCTTTCTACCAAAAAAAATGCAATTAAACCAGCATGGTTGAAGTAGGAAAACAACTTACATTGGCACACAGAAGTGGCTGAGGCAATGATTTAAAGCCGCAGCTATGCCAGTGTTGAAGCTGAAGAACAGATATTAAAATACGTGAAAAAAAATGAAATTAAAGTAAAAGAAATCATATTGACCTAGATAGTTTTAGTGATTCACAAGTATTAGTGATTTTTCAATGAGATGCAGACAGCAAATTCTGTGCAAACAGGACAAATGCACGTACAAAGGTGACCCTTGGGTGTATCCTCAGTTGCATAACCAGATGTACATGAAAATATCTGCTCTGTCCTCACTGGGTTTGCACACACCAACCCAGCTTGCTTAATGCACAGTCAGGTTAAGCACTAACCCAGAAGCAGGAACAGCTTCAAATACAAATGTGAAAATTTGAGGATATAACACATCATTTCAAGGCAGCTCAGACACCTGTTTAACAGCAAGGCCACCTCCTTTTGTTTCTCTTTGGGAACACTGACAGAGTTCCAGGAGCCAGTTCTAGTACAGTGAGCTTTGTCTTCAAGTATGACTGCATGACATAATATTTCAGGAACACAAATCACCCTTCTTCCATGATTTCCCATCATAAAAAGACAAATTTTCATGAACTCAGTAGGATAAACAATGGAGCAATTCATTCCATAATGAAATTTCAAAAGCAGGTATCTAAATGCACATGTACCTTGGTTCAGGGACCAAGCACCAGGCCTAAGATCATCTATGAAACCTTTTTCAGGCTTGGGAGGAAGCTGCCTTGATTACAGGCTTTGTCCTGGATCTTTCCCAGACACAAGACTTTCAACTGGTGGTGAAATTATTATTTATATGTAATGTGTGTCACTACATTCAAATCTAAGTTCCAGAACTATCTTTTCAAATTACTCACACAACCACGTTGTTTCTAAATGCATACCTTATATCTTCTTAATTTGACCATTAAAATAGCAAAGCTTACCTACTACTCACATCACTTCCTCTGGAAACAAATCAACTCTGATAGAGAGAATCTTAACAAGCAAATTTTGACTTGCATTTTAGCATAACTATGTACACCACCCCCATTTCAGTTTATTTCTTTGCTTATATGTTGATAGAGTCTTGGCTCTGCATGTTAAGAACTGCATCTGCTCCCCCTGTAACTCAACACTTTCCCTTGCTTATGATGGCTCTTCTCCAGGGTCAATGTTTCCCCTCAGTGATTTTTTAACTCTAGAAATGCAGTGAGAAGCAGTAAAAGTAATCAGTATGAGCAGTCAACAGCAGTAATATGCTAGGAACCTGAATTAAGGATTTCCTAGCTCAAGAGAGCAGCTCTGACATTTCCAGGGAAATTTAAGCAAGTGAGAAAGAAACCTGAGAAGCAAAACCAAAAAAGACTCTGGCAAGCAAGAGAAAAAAAATGGATGTACAAGACCTAAGCAGAGAACAGCATGCAGGAAAAAGAAGGGTAGGAGCTATGATATGTCACTACCAGTTTAGTGAATAAATCTACAAAGATGAGGACAAACAGGAATAGAAGTATTAATATCTCTTAGAATATATGCTAAGCCTCACCTAAACATTACTTATTACTTGAAGAAAAAAACAAATAGAAAGGTTCTCTCACTCATGGCCTTTGGGGAGGGAAGATGGAGTCTTCCCTGAAAATGTGGTGAATACTGAAACTTTCAGTATTTTATTTAAGAGCATACTTTGCCTATCCATATAGATCAGAAAATCCAGTACAAACTGTGCTTCACTTTATTAGATATATTTTTTTATGTCTGAGAATACAGTAATTGACCTTGATAATCAGACCTGAAATCCAAGAACTTAAAAAAAGTGAGATGGGGTTGGATTTCAGATTTTTGCTCAACCACTGCATTTGCCTGGGCAAGACAGAAATAAGTTCTTGATCAGCTTAACGTTTGTGATGAACTGCTTGCTCAACCTCAAATATTTTTCTTTGTTATCTACTTATTCTGTAAGTGCAACTATTTCCTAGTACTCACACCCATCACCTTGCTTTCCTCGTGCATTCATGTTTCCATCTGTTCACACAACCAACTTTTTCCTTTCAAAAACTTGAAATTTCTTCTAAGCATTCACTGTAAAACTATTTCAAGAGAGATTTGTGGAGGAGGCATCCAAAACAGCACAGTGAGTTCCTAAGACCTCCCTTACTCTGCTCTCATTAAGGGGCTGGGCATTTGCTTTGTTAACAACATATTTGGTATGTAAGTCCCCAGGGGTTAATGGAGCTACAAGGAAGTAACTCATTTGGAAAAAGATGAAAAAAGCTGGTTTCATGTTAGATGAATTACCTGAAGTTCCTCAGCAGTTCTTACACTGCCAACAGGGTTTAGATTGCCACAGAGCTAAGCCCTAATTGTGTAAACTGACTTCTAACACTCTATCATCAGTCCTCTTGTTTTTCTTGTGAGCCAGTGTGCCCCAGTTCTTCACCTGTTCAAGCTCCTCAGCCTATTAAGGAGACTCTCAAGGGCCATGTAAACATGAGATGCCTCACTGGTACATTTTTCTTCTTAAAATACCCAATTCTTTTTCAAGCATTAGCTATAGATCTGAACTTCCACAGTCTGGTGTGGGATTTTGTCTTAAGGGTTTTTTTTAAACAATTCTATAAATATGAGCAGCTGAGTTATATTTTATAGCACACTAACACTACAGTTTTCAGTCCTCAGTTTCACTTAAAAGAAATGCAATTGGATGAATGTACATAAATAACAGTCAAGGTAGAGAGAAATAATTTTTTAATAAAAGAATAACTCAAGAGTTCCAGAAGATCCATTGTAAGAGATAAGGTAGAAAGATTAGAGGTAAATTCAAATTCATGAATTTTGGAACCTTTTCATTTGTTAGTCTAGGACATAAATATGATCTACAATATTTGAGTTTTAAACTGTTTCTAAAAGGGAAAGATGCTGGACAAAACCATTTCCTATGCTGAATTATTTTGATACTGTTACTGTAACACCCATGGGTACAGTAACTACCAAAAACCACAATAACACAAAAAAAAGTGCTGTGTGGAAACTTGGGGGGGACAGGAAGGCAAAATCCTCTGTGTTTGAGGTGGGGTTGCTGCTGACTTTAAACAAGTTTTCCCAAATCAAGAGAATTACATTATATAGCAGGAACTAACATTTATCTGGATAAACCTGTCACTGGTAGAGCTCAATGAGAAGAGCATTTTTCTTCCTCTCAGCTTACAGTACCCCTTAGAAAACATTCCTCTGGGTTTAAAACATCTGTCTTGAAAGCACATGCAAGAGCTCTGCAAAGAGATGCCTACACTGTCTTGGGACTTGCAGAGAAGGAAAAGAAAAAGCTTTCCAAACCTGACACTGGTAAGAGGGAGTTTTGGTGAGTTTTGGTGAGTTTTGCTGTGTGCCTAGACTGTTGAATTTTAGTAACCAAAGGTATAAATATCTATACATACCCCCTATAAAAAAAGCACTTATTTGCACATTTTGTTTTCATGTAGAGAAACATATACCACAAAAGGTGGTATCACCTTACAGAGTTTCTTAGATGCTAGAAACACAACAAGTTGCATCAAGAAGATGAATTCTCTTTCTTACCTTGCAGCAATGTGAGAAGATCTGGCATATGTACTCCTGTGTGTATCGAGACCTGCTGAGCAGGGCCATCAGGTGGGAGATAACTGTAGCATCCTGGAAACAAGTTGGAAAAGAAAGATATTAACACTTCATTTCAGCACAGTTTGTTACTTAAAAGAGTACTCCTGATTTTGCATTTGGTGTTCTCCCTTCCTTGTCCTGTGTCCATACAAGTGGTACAGGAGAAGCTTCAAGGCACGAGTGAGAGTTTTGAGTGAAATCCTCACTGAAAAGAAGTTAATGCAAATGAGGTATAAAAATTCTGGGATATGTCTTCAGAATGTTTCACTTCAGGAGAAAATAATAAAGGAATTAAGAAAACAAAAACCATACTGACTGCAAACATGGTCACTGAAAGCAATTACTGCAGGAGATCTCTTAGTATTTTCTTATTACAGAAGTGATGTTCTTACCTCTTCACTTCAAGTCCATGCAGAAAAGAGTAGGGAGGGGAACAAGGTGGACAACATACAGTAGGTAAACTAAATTACTTCCATGAAATAAAGGGTGCTGAACAGAGGTGTTGAAAAGACTGAATGACTTTCCCTCCAAAGAACTTGAGCTGTATTGACCTTATACAGGTAAGTCAGACTCTGTTTTACCTGCAGGAGAAGGATTAATTGCAACCCTCTGACAACAGAGAAGCAGATTAAAATGAGACCAAATCTTCATGCTCCTCAGATACTCTTACAGCAATTAAACTAGCATTAGCTTGATTGTTTTAATGCCTATAGCTTTAGAGGTACATAGCTGTTTATGAAAAGTTTTATTTTACAATCACTTGGGAAATTTCCAATCACACTTTTTTACATTAGCAAAATGAAAAAGTCCAAGTCTCTCCTACTTCTATACCTATTTTGACATTAGGCAAAGCTTTGCAATATTTCTTATTTTTAACATTTATATATGTATCTAAAAAATTTACTAGACTTATTTCAGAAAGCTTTGCTGCCAACAATGCAGCATTCTTATCCTCAACAAAACAATAGGACACCAGAGCTAAGAAACACACTGAGAACAAAAACAACTTGTTTCTGCTGCTTGTTTCTCAATAACTGGAAAGGATCAATGTGCAACAGCCTCATTTGTCATTGCAGCATCTTATATAGAGAAAGTTCCTTACTAGAAGCTGGAGCTCCTCAGCTCACTGCACACTTATGTGCCTAGGAAAAGCAAGGGACAAGCAGCATTCTTTGGGTCTGGTCAATGGTAGCTCCATGTGATCTTCTGCTTCTCCACATGCCATACATACAACCACAGCTATTTCTTGGCAACTTCAGAACCCCAAGGCCTGCAAGGAACTGGTTTGCTTACAGGGCAATAGTGACATTAAATCTGCAACTGTGTTGCAACAGCACTAATGGTCATGACCATAATGAAGTGGCTCTTGACTCTCCCTGACAGAGGTAATTACGCCTGCAGTGGTGTGTAAACTAAGTGGGTATTGGGGTTTGGGCACCTGCCAAGCAGAGCAGCAAATTTCCATGAGAAAGTAAACAGAAGCAGCTAACAGCCAATGTACTTCAGGAAAAAACATGTCACAGTCTTCCAAAGTCATAGCGGGTCTCCCAGACTTCTAAGTGTGTCCTCCTTGGAGCTAAAGCAAAACAAATTGACAATATACACAGGGTTCCTCTGTGGTTTAATACACTTGACCCATTAAAACAGAGTCTTGTACTTTTCTGTACATCTTAGGCAGCTGAAGATATCGAGGCACTTCAGTGTTCAACACAACATCCACATATATGTGCTAAAAGGCAAAGATGAAGTGCACCTTAGACAAAATAATCAAGAAGTCAAGAGAGCAGGGGGAAGGGAAAAGAGACACCTCAGGATTCAGAGGCAACAGCTTAAAAAAAGGAGCTTTAAGATGTAAGACCTGAAATCTCCTGCAGGGAAATCACTGACTATATAATCTGTCTTGTTTCAAAAATTTCAAATAGCAGGATGGAAATAGTGGTCTAAACATGAGTCTAATGAAATTGCCAGAGACATTGCCCTTGCCAAAGAAGAGATATAAAAATTCACAACTCAAGAAATATATGCAGAGTGAGCCAAGTGAAAAACCTGCACTAGCTCAGTAATCTCTAGCTGGAGGAGATCCCCATGACCTAAAAAGGATTCAAACTGTCACTATTAAAGATAGACTCAGAGTTCCCTAATGTTAGTAATATGTTGTTTTGATCTATGTGATCTAGAAAGCCATACAACATGGCAAATTTTTGGAATGTCAGCAAGCACAAAACCTAGATTGAGAGCATGGGAAGAAGAAAAAAAAACATTTGTCTTGGTTTGGTCGCTTCCCCCAAATAAGTGGTGTTCAAATTTATGAGCACATACTTTTATATATTGCTTTACAATTGCATTTTGTCCTTACCTTAAATTAAGGTTTCTCTCAGCTAACCAGGAAATTCTAGACAACAATTTATAGATGTCAGCACCCATTCAGGTTCTTAGGGATTGAAAAAAAAAAGCCAGAAGGATAGCAACAGATTTATTTCCTAAATCATAACCCTCATATCCATCAGGTAACCTTTGCAGACTGCTCTGTGCAGCTGCCTTGTCTACAGAGATACTGGCAGGTACAGCTCAGCATTTCTGTCACTAACTGACCACAATCCACTCACATCATCTGTCACCCTTATCACCCTGTGCACATCTGGATACTGAATCATGCTGACAGCTCTGAAGTGCTCCTAAAAAAGGCTACAGGACTTTCCCTCCTCCTCTCAAGCTTGTAGAAAGGGTTTGCATAGTGTTTTATTTTTGAACTTCATCTGGTGGAATCGCTTCTGGAAAATGAGATTTCTGTGAAAATACACAAGAGTAACACTTGGGTTATCCTCCATTAGCTAGGAAAGCACTTGAAATCTATAAATAATCTATAAAATGTGCTAGGTGGCAAGTATTCTATCAACAGCCACTGGAAATCAACCTGAAGCTGGTGAAGTAAGATTTCTGATGTTATCTTTCATAGATTCTACTAGAACATCTTCCCATAGACTCATTTTTATCTCCTGAGGTATGAATAAAATAATTACTCAGTTAAACTCTTTTATTCAAGGCAGATGAATGCACAACATCTCTCCACCTGTACCTAACACCATGGAAGGCACTAACAGACTTTTACTTCACATCCTAGCCAGTGACATCAGCATGTTCAGGCTCACCTAAAACTTCAACATCATTGATCACAAGGGTGTTTTGGCTGAAGTTTGATAGATTGGAGAGTTTTGATCAAGGATATAACTGGGCAGAAACTGAGCCAGTTTCTGATTCTGAGAATCTGTTCAGAAGCTCCACTACAGTCACAGAAATAGGAATAGAATGGCACCCAGTGATTTGCCTAAGGTAACATTTCACTGACCAGTGTGGAATCATGACCCAACAGTAAATTCCTGGACAGGAAGGTGTTCATACTGGATGATGAAAAGCATTTTAATTTAGCATTTATGAGACTGGGCTGATCTGATATGAAACATTCTGACAGGGCATTTCTGGTGTCCCTGTGACCCCAGTGATGATGGTGTAGATATGATATAAAAATCAATGACTCCTTGCAATCAACAGAGCAAGGGTCCCCTGAAATTCTACCAACACAAAGAGCTGTATTATTAGATATTCTGAACTATAAAAGTGTACAGTTGAGAAGTGATTATTTGGAGGTATCTTCTATACACTTTCTCATTTTATTGCATCAAATCACAAGTGTTGTAGGTATGAAAAGGTTAAAAACTCTTGGGAAGTTTTAAGAGTGCTTCCTTAATGCTTATGAGAAAATAATGTTAACCTTGCCCTTGATTCTGCTAAAATACACCCAATTCCTATAATAATTGTCATGTGTTCATCAGAAAACAATCTAGAAGTAAAAAGATGTATGAACATTCCTGACTTCCAACTCAATACAAGGAGTAATTGGGTGTCAATATGATGCTACATAATTCCACTTTTTTTCCATATTAATATCTAAGTAACAAAGGATCTTTCTAGCAACCTTTGTAAGTGACACTGAGTCTACTTTCATAATTTGCACTTAGAACAATGAGATTCACAAATCCATTAAAATGTCTGCTAACAAGGACTAGTTCCAGGCAACTTGGAACAAATATCTGTACATCACATGTATTGTAACAAAATCACTGACTATCCAAGCAGAATTCAGAAAGAGAGAATTAATGAAGTTGCATTTTGCTGCTTGGATCCCAACACCTACCTACTGTCTTCATATTCCTTTCTAACATTTGAACAAGATTTCCAAGATCTATTTTTAAAACTTTTCTTTCTAGCAGAGGATTATGATTCTTTTTTCCAAGTCAGAGAACTGAAATTCTTATATTCATCCAAATAACTTAAATTCAAGCTCTCTAAGCAATTCATCACTTTATAGTTCTCATTTTTAGGACAGAGTTCAGCTTAGAGAACACTGAGCCTTGCTGCATGGGCTCAGCCATTATAAACAAGAGGAGTGAAAGGAGTGAGGCATTAGAAGATGACCTAGATTCCTCCTTTAGTAACTGCATCACTGAGACATGGTGGAACACGGGGACACTTTGCAGTGTGGTTTCATAGCTCATTAAATAGCTGGTTATTAATCAGTGTAACATATCCTGCTCTGTCCTGCTAGCCTTGTCCTCTCAATTGTTCCCCCTCCTGTTCACCAAGGCTGGTTGATCACCAGGTGATGTTAGGTTTTCCATCTCAAGCCTGAGCAGCAAGGAATACCTTTCACTTAACATCACTAGCTCACATAAGCTGGAAAAAGTGAGATTTCTGAAATTTGATTCCTCATTCTCTGAAGAGCAGGGAGAAAGTCATCCTGCTGCACTCCTTCCCTTCTCCAAGCTTCCTGTAAGGACAGGCTGGCTCACAGCAGAGAACATACCCGCTACCTGCCTCTTCCTTCAAGGCCAGCAGGGTAGCCAGAGAGCAACTACTCAATAAAACTCTGAGTCCCACTGAGGAAATAAAACAGGATCACAGGTGAGAACATCTGTAAGGGAACATGCAGAATGCCTTCATGGGTTGGACAGGTTTTCTGCCACTGAACCTGTTCACTGCTTTAAATGGAATAGCAAAAGCTGAAGTAACAGGCTGTCAGTCAAATTGGATTTGACTTAGTGCTTGAATCTATTCATCAACCCAGAACACACCTAGCTATACTGAGCTGGATAGTTCAGATGTACAAAACACCTCCAAATATAAACATATCATTAAAAAAAAAGTCTGCACATCTATCTGCATCTCAACAGGTCTCTCACCTTGGGACTCCATGTCATTCCTCATTCCCATTGGCAGGATGGTCACTAAATCAGTCTCAGCACCAGAGTCTGCACCCTTCCAGTGAAGGAAGCCTCCACAAGATGTGTCTGCCTAGCCCAGGTCTGGACACAGCTCACTGCTTTGCAGCAAACATCCTGCAAGGTCTGAGTACCAGGCACTGAAAGCCTGGCCCTTCTGAGACCTCAGTGTTCATTCAGCTCAGCACACAAATGGATGGGGCTTCACATTAGCTCACTACAGGTCCTAAGTTCCTACAGGAAACAGCCCAAAGGTTTCTACCTCTGAACTAGTGTTTTGTCTTTGGAACTCAACATAATTGCTCATAACTGCCAGCAGTTCATCCTTCAAGCCTATAAGGAAAGGTTCAAGAGGAAAGACACAGCTTCTGACACTTCACACTTCTGCTAGGAGAAATATTCAGGTTACTGGGTATGATGTGGGGTGGGGGATTTTTTTGGTGTGTTTTGGGGGGTTTTTTTGTGTTTGTTTGGGTGTGTTTTGGGGTTTTTTTGTGTGTGTTTTTTAAAGGAGATTTTATGTTTATTCTCCCCCAATCCCAAACCTATCACAAAGAAATTTTTTCAAAGCTCCTTAAACAGCTCTCTTTAAAGCACCTGTATATCCTGGATCTTAAGTGAGAGTTCCTCTGAAACCTCTGGAGTGACTTGGACACAGAGCTAATATCTTCTTTTGGAAATAGCCCTGGCCCAAGCTTGAGAGACAGCATCCTCCATGCAGTCAAACCCCCAAAAATTCTGGGAAAAGTTGCTATCTTAGATACAACTCAGGAAACAAATTTTCAGAAGGCTTCTCCAGAACTGCTGGACAAGAATGAACAGCCATTGACAGACAAATTCTTACCTTTTAAAATAGGACCTGATAAAGGCAGAGCTCAAGAGGCTGCTGAATGAGCCCTTTCATTCATTCAAGATCTGAAGCTATCTGGAAATAGTGACAGTCTCCCTGGAGTAGCTGTGCTCAGAAACAAAGGAGAAGGAGGGTGGCTAAATGAGAACTTTAAGTCCTTCCTGTTATTCTCAGTGCTGGAAGAGCAGAGTGTTTGCCATAAAGTGTTGATTAGACCTGTAATTACTTCTTTAATTGCAAAGACAACTTCTTAGCTGCTGTCTTGTGAAATGCAGCTTGCAGCAGAGTGGGGGTTGTGGCTACACCTTTCAAGAGACAGGAAAAACATCTTTTCAAAGGACCTGCATTTGTTACCTTTCACAGGGTGGATTTGGCTATTCCCAAAAGAGAAGCAAAAAAAACCAAAGTTAATTTGCAGAAATAGGACCTTAGGTAATACAGTTGAAACTGAAGACCAAGGGCACCCTCACCAGATGATCACTTTATGGTTATGGTTCAACCAGGGACATCACATTTGCCTGAATAAGGAGCAGGATAGCAGAGTTCTGATGTCACTGTTGTGCAGCAGAGAAAGCAAAGGGTGACACAGAAAATCCAGGACCTTAGGTGTATTTTCCCCACAGTATTAGTGGTAACTTATATACTAACACTTTCACATTTCTGTACACACTCTTCCACTTCCCCTCCCTCCAAGAAACCAAATCTCTCCTTCAAGTAGAGAGCAATTAATAGTCTCTGCTGAGCACTAATCCCCAGGAAGAGCTATGGGTTGCTAATGGAGATGATCATCTGAAGCCCTGACGTTGGATGCTGAGAGCAGGAAGCAGATGCCCCTGCAATTATGAAAGAGGTCAACTTGGGGGAATCTGGGAGCATGAAGTGGAGCCAAAGGAAGGAAGAGAAACACAAGGACACTCTCAGATCACTCAGGAGAGGTGCTTTCAGTGGTCACACATACAAGCTGCACTGAGGGTTTCCTTGTTGAACAACCCAAAAACAACTGGAAAACAGGTGGTGAGCAGTGGAGGACAAAGATGTCTGATTATCTAAACATATTAAACGTAAGAGTAAGCTATGAAAAGCTGCAGAAAGACTTCATGGGATGGAACAACTAGTAGATTAAATCCATAATAACCTGTCAGTTACATGTAAATCACACACATATTAACCAAAATTAGAGAGATTTTGGAGGTGAATCTCTTCCCCATGAAGTGTAAAAAGCAAGCAAACACCCTCAGACCTGGAGTGGGAAGACAGTGTTGGATAAAACTAAGTTTCAGAAATAAACTTTTGCCAATACAGCTGTGAGAATGGTGTCTGTCAATACCATTTAGAGACTTAATACCTTAAATAGCTTTAGAGACTCCTTAAGACTACAGACATGAAAATTTTGGGGTTTTTCTTTATCAGTGTGCTACCTTCTCAACCCTCTCATATCAAATATTGCTATAAATGTTAGGTGAGCCAAATGCTTTAAACGTAGGTGAGAAATGCTAACACTTGGTCAGACAGGTCCTCATTACTACTGCAGACAAGCCCTTCCACACCCACCAACTCTACAGGTTTTAAAAGGACATGATAATCTGCTCATAACTTACTGTGTATAGGAGATCCTCTGGAGTGACAGGACTAATGAAGATGGTACGGAGACATCGCAAGCAAGCTTCAATAAACTTCAAATCTGGCGACAGTAATCCTAGAAACATAGACAAAAGTTCCATTATCTTTGCTTATTTGAGTACTTCAGCAACATTTACAAACATAGATCCCTTAAGGGAAAACTACCTTGCAATAAGGCTGGGATAATATGGCAGTCTAGTAGGGATTTGACATTATTCTCTGTACCCATTGCAAGGCTCCCGAGGACCACTGCGCATTCTGTTCTCAATTCTGTGCTGGAGGTTTCTTGCTGAAGTAAATACAGCAACCTGGAAATAGAATTATTTTTAGATAAAAATTCAGACAGAAGAGAACTCAAGTCTCACCAAAAAAAAAAATCTCCTACTATTTAAAGAAGATGAAGTCCTTAATAGAAAGATGAAGACTGAACAAAAGAGTAAGATCAACACTTTATTCATAAGCACCTTTTTACACTGTTTTTCTACACAGATTTTACTTGCTCCTGTGGTAGAAAGCTACCACACTTTTTTTCTGAAAATGTAGTGCCACAGTCCTGGTATCTGGGATGAGGTCTTTCAGGATACCAGGAAGATCCCAAATTTCAATGGAAGGAAACTAGTCTGCAGTTTGACGTCAATGGGAAAGGGAACCTCCTGCACCTCTCCCAACACCCAGGGAGATGACTGCTGTAGTGATGGTTGTTATCTTTGGCAGCAACTCCACCTGGGTCACAGTTAAAAAATTATCCCACCAACAAGCACAAGCATGGGGGCTGAGAGCAATCTGAGTTTTGGACACTGAAAAAGAATCACACGTGAACATAAAGAACGCCCAGAAGAGTTTTATGTGTGCAAAGGCAGCTGAATTGTAGCTAAACAAGATGACTTTAGGCCTAAACCACATCTTGCCAAATGTGTAACTTGGGTCTCAATTAATTTGGGTTCCTTATACAGTGCTAAGTTACCTAGGAGCCCCTCTGGACAGATTTTAGCACCTGACTCACAGCAGAGGTCACAGAATGTTTTCAGCCTAAAATTAAGTCAAAGAGTCCAGACAGCGACTGAAGCCTTCTCTGGGAGCAAAAAGGAGCCCAAAGGCAACATCCACCCCACTGCTGAAGGGACAGAAGTAGTTACTCAGGTAAACAGATCCCTGAACAAAATGTCCCCAAAGCTAAACCAAAGCCAAGGGAAAAAATAACCAGAAATACAGACACTATGTGCAATGTAGGTACAGGACTTTCAACACTGACAAACCTTTTTTTTTTTCCTTTTTAAAGGGGTTTTTACAAAATTGAAAAGCATCCTAAATTCTGAACATTGTACTCTTCCAAAGAAAATAATTGCTATTTTCTTTCCCATTACCACTCTGCAAAGGAACAGATGTTACAGCCATGTTAATGGTAGAGTGAAAATGAAACACATTGACTATAGTCTTTCTGCACCTTTAAAACAGAAATCCTTAACTAAGCCTTATAATTAGTGAAGATGAAAATTTAAGTTCAGATTTATATATATAGTAAGGTTTTGACATATTAATAATATGCTTTTCTAGATCTTTGAAATATGCTTGTGTTTCAGATTAGGTTTTCCACAGCGCTAGACATTCTTCTTATAACATTTTCTGTTTCTTTCTTAAAAGGAGAGAACTGCCACTGAGCAACACTGAAAATTAAGTAGTTAAATGACAAACTATAAAACTCTGAAAACTTTGAAGTAAGGAGAAGCTGTGTGAGTGACAAAGATGAAACTGCATCATGTCCTGTTAAACACTAAGGACAAAGACCACATCCTTCCATTGTCACAGGAAACACAGGGCCAGCACACTCATGGACATCTCCTGTGTCCAAGGTCTAGCACATCCAAATTCAGCAAAGATGTTCATGATACACTCCTCCCATCTATTAATATTAAAAGGATAAAAAGGTAGGAAAGTGGCCTGTACACACAGGGGATAAAAGGGAAGGTTATAATTCAGAAATTTTTAAAAAATTACTAAGGTACTTGTTCATAGTCCACATTTTTTATGAACACAATGTCCCTGCTTAACCTGGATCTCTGATCTCCATCCCTATCCCCCTCAGCCAGACATTTGACTTCTACCCAATCTGCAAAAATACTGGAACAAGGCTCTGCTAGAACCACCTTAACTCACTTTTGTAGAGCCCAAGAGCTTCCTGAGAAGCCAAAGCATAGAACAGATACTCTGAAACAGGAAAAGGTGCTCATGTTCTTGTTGACTCACTCTTCTTCCTGTCATCCTGCAGTCTTATTACAATAAGACTGGAAATGAAATAAAGCTAATGAAAAGTTCTTGCAACATCTTCATGAACATCAACCCCAGATTTGAGGCTAAGTAGTTTAAAACACAGTACTTGGTCTTCTTCAAGCTTTTAGAAGGCTTCCCTAAGATATTTTCCTCTAATGTTTATAGAGAATACAACTTCTTCCATTTGTCCCTGTGCTTAAACTGATTAAAGCCTCTCTCTCAGATGTCAGTAATGGTATCCAAGCAATCACATCTAAATGAGGTAGGACAGTAAATCCATCCAGAGATACTTCAATGAATTCCATGAATATCTCTGCCTAGAAACCAAAAATAAGGTCAGCTGGAGGCAGGATATATTTTGAAGAACTGAAAGGGATTCATCTAGGAAAACTACACACTACTTCATCTAAAGCAGAAGGCTTTCAAGGAAAGTAGCTGCTGAAAAAATGGTAACTAGTGTGGCTTAGAAAAGAAGATCAACAGTTCAGATCTTCCTTTCTTTTGAAGATTGAGGTGGGTGCAGCACAAAGTTGTGCATTCTAAGACAGACTTGCATGACTTAGAGCTCGATCTATACAGTTAGCTAAAAATTACAGAAATTTACTCTTTGACATTCTATCCTACCAACAAGTTGTCACAAATTCTAAGACCGACTTGCATGACTTAGAGCTCATCAATCTAGTCTGAAAGCAGACCTCACAGTTAGCTAAAAATTACAGAAATTTACTCTTTGACATTCTATCCTACCAACAAGTTGTCACAAAAGTCTCTGAAGTTCTTAAAATTCCTGGGAAGGAGATGAAACTCGGCTGTCAGTAAAAGAACATTTTTGGCACTTCAAGCCCCACAAGCAGCCATGTGGAAAAAGTGCTCAGGGTAACAGCTCCAGTTAGAGTACCAAGAGACTTAACACACCTTTTACCCAGGGATAGGAATAAGTAAGAGCTTTAATTCAATCATGACTATCTGAATATTTACTATTAGTCCCCTTGCAAAACAGATGAAAGCACCATTTACTGGAATGATGATGATTTCTTATTCCACCTTGGAAGATGTTTGCCTTCCAGACCATTGCAAGGCCTGAAATCTATACCGTGGACACATATGCAATGAAGGTACAGATGAAGGTACTACTGAGGCATATTATTTACAGCTGACACACAGAATATTGAAAAAAACTTCATGCATGCATAGAGGTTGACTTCTGAACATGGAGCATCAATCCTGATCTGTGAACTGAAATATGAAACTCACAAAACCCACCCAAAACAGCTTCAGTACAATTGTGGTGACCATTTGCCTTGGCTCATGTGTAGCTGGGTGAGATGAATACCTTGTCCCACTTATACATACCCCCATGGTGAGGGACACAGTCCTCATAGACATGTATTTCTGTAAACAGGCCCTGATTCTTGATTGCTCTACTGTCCACCTCTCCAAATGGGTTCCCATACAAACAGACCAAGTTGAAAAGGTACCAACACTGGAAGGCAAATTGGAGACCAGAACCTGAGTAGATCCTGGTGTTTTCTGGCTTTGGACACAAATGCACCAAGAACTGCTTTATGAAAGATGTAGCAGGCTATGAGGATCATGATTATTTTGTGCATCACCAAGAACTCCAGGTCTCTCTTCTGGAGCAGAGATACAGAACATGCTTTCTTCTGCAGTCAGGAAACATCTCGTGCCAAAGCAACTCATATAATGACTACTGATAGACTTATGGGTTTGTTAAAACAGCCAAACCAGCTCTGCTTTGGAAATATTTGTTTCCACTTTTAAAACATTTTTGTTCCCCAGAATATCAACTGACCCAGGGAAAGTTAACAGTTTCCTGACCTTCTGTAAAATGCAATTTCACTATTCTAAAAATACTTTGATGCCCTTACTGGTAAGTATTTCAACTAAAAATGTTAGAACACCCAAATCTGATACTCAAAATTAGCAGCTTAAATTATTTATGCTATTTTTTTTTGTTCCTCCCAGCTTGATCTCTGAACACTGTTCATCCTATTAGAAACAAAGATCCTACCACACAAAGACAGGCTCCCTGGCATATCAAAGTCCAGTTTATCACCCAAAACACACACAAAAAAATAATACTTCCAGCTTCATATCTGTCACTTCACTAACACTTCTAGAGTTGCTCTTTC